GCTCATTTTTGTATTTTTAGTAGAGGCAGGATTTTGCCATGTTGGTCAGGCTGGTCTCGAACTTCTGACCGCAGGTGATCCACCTGCCTCAGCCTCCCAAAGTGCTGGGATTGCAGGCGTGAGCCACCGCACCTGGCCCCTGCCCAGTTCTCTTGTGTTGAGGTGTGTGGGCAGCTGCTCACAGGCCACCCAGGAGAGCCCTGCTGGGCAGAATAACTTTAAGTTGCCTGCAGCGTTGGGTGTGGTTCCACTGGCCACTAGGCCCCAGTGGACACTGTTCCTTTTTTCCTCCGGGCAGAAGTGGATGTGTTCAGCCCACTGCGCGTCTCTGAGAAGGTCCTGCTGCACCTGCTGAAGCATCCCAGCGTCAACCAGGAAGTGAGGTTTGACGAGAGCAACCGCCTGGCCGCGCACCACTACCTCTACCAGCGCAGCCAGCCGGTGGATTACTTCATTCTCATCCTGCAGGTAGCTGTGCGTCCAGGCCTGGAGCCCCTCCCGCTTCCTCAGGCCCAGGCAGGGTCTAGGAGAAGACGGGAGCAGGGGCGTGCAGATACGCACCCTCCCGCCCCGAACAGTTGAGGTGGTGGGTTTCTCCTTCCGCTGTCTTCTGACGGGAAAGGTGATCTGGCCGCACCTGTTTCTCTCCTTGCCACTCCTCCCAGGGCAGGGTTGAAGTGGAGATCGGGAAGGAGGGTCTGAAGTTCGAGAATGGGGCCTTCACGTACTATGGAGTGTCGGCGCTAACCGTGCCATCCTCAGGTAAGCCATGGCCCTGCTGGCGCTGAGGGTCAGGGTTGAGGCTGCAGAGCCTGTCCCCCATTGTCGCTTGGGCCCTCAGTGCCCCTCCTCGCCTCCCTTCCACCTGAGCCCGCCGCCCCACAAGGTGGTGTGGCCCCTGGGCTTCCGGGCGGGAGGGCAGCATTCTTCCTCGCTCGACTTTGCGGCTCACTCCACCCCTGCAAACCCTCTCCCGCCTGTGCTCGTTCTCCTCTCCCTGCTTCCCAGGCACATCGCCTCTCCAGGGTGATTGGTGGGGTGGTTCTTCGAAGCTGTGCAGTTGTCCCCTCCAGGGGAGGGGGCTCCCAGCTGCCAGCACTGGCTTCTGCCATCACTGATTGTTCCTTCGATAGTTCACCAGTCCCCGGTGTCCTCGCTCCAGCCCATCCGCCATGACCTGCAGCCCGACCCAGGTGACGGCACGCGTTCATCTGCGTATTGTCCCGACTACACCGTGAGGGCGCTCTCTGACCTGCAGCTCATCAAGGTGACTGCCTGGGCTGCTCGTGGCTGCTGACTTTAGCCGACTTTGTGTCACTGGGGGCTAGATCAGCTGGTCTGGGACGGCCCGGAGCAGGGCCTTCCGCTCATCCTGAGGGACACAGACCTTTGTACCCAGTTTCCCTGCGAGATCTTAAAAACACTTGACTCAGTTGCTCTTCTCTTCCCTTAACTTGCTTAAACTTGTGCGTCTGCCCTCTTCTGGCATGGCGTGACCTTTCCTGCCTACATTCTGCGTCTCGCTTCACCAGTGGGGTCCGCCAGTAACACTGTCATCCTCCAGGTGACGCGGCTGCAGTACCTCAACGCACTCCTGGCTACCCGAGCCCAGAACCTGCCACAGTCCCCTGAGAACACCGACCTGCAGGTTATGCCAGGCAGCCAGACCAGGCTCCTTGGTGAGAAGACCACCACAGCGGCAGGTGAGCGCCGAGTGGCACACTGTGCGCGGTGTCTGGACCCAAGGGCTGTGAGCTCACACACACAGACTTGCACTTTCGCCGCCTCACCCTGCCCTCTGTCTTTTTTCTCTCTTTTCTCCGCATCCTTTTCCCTTCTTGTTTTT